ACAATATCAGGCCATTGCTGCGCAATGAAGCGACCGCACCGTATAGTGAAATCCCACAGAATCTTGATCTTCTGGTCCTGCGGAGAGATGTTGGCGTCTGAAGTATCTCTAGCTTCAGGGACGTTATCTTCAGGTGCAGGATGCTCTTGTACCATTGCATTGGTCTTGGTATGCTCAAGCACCAGATCTCAGTGGTGTTTTTTGTACTCGTCTTCACATGGTATCCCATGTGCACGACAGCATCCAGCAGCCAAAGGTAGGGTCATGCATCATATGGATATTACACAGAGGGTGTGCGCCTTAACCTGCAATAGTGCTCAAATGCCCGGAATGGGCAGAGCGTAGTACGCAAGAGGTACACAAAAGGAAGTATATAGGGCTGTTTTTTGTTGTAACTCAGAGTTTCATGGCAAAAACCAATCATCAGACAACATAAGGAGATTAGAAAAACGCAGGTATATGAAGGCAAACAGGGGAGATAGAATAATTCAGTGCAGACAATATGATAATCATTCAACACCTCCCAGAGGCAGTACGCTCTGACGTGCCGGAATGAACATCTCAGGTGCTGGGTGAAACATGACCACGCACACTCATCCACACACACACACACACACACACACACACACACACTAATCCACACACAGCCTCTCGTTCTCACACACTCCCGCATTATCACACCTAAACACACGCGCACGCACACACACACACACACACACGCACCAAACACACACACGCACCAAACACACACATGCACCACACACACACACATACACACAGCCTCTCGTTCTCACACACTCCACACTCCCGCATTATCGCACCTAAACACACACACACGCACACACACACACACACACACACTCACACACACACACACCAAACACACACGCACCACACACGCATGCACCACATACACATACCTACACACAGCCTCTCGTTCTCACACTCTCCACACTCCCGCATTATCGCACCTAAACACACACACACACGCGCGCGCGCGCCAAACACACACGCACCACACACACATACACAGACACACACACACATACACACATACACACACATGCCAAACCCATAGCACGTCATACACGTTATGTCACTTCATAACCCAGCAAAAACTTGCGCTGGTGGCGGCACTTTGATACCAACTCGCTCCTTTTGTTAAGTGAGATGGCATTTGGAGTGGTGAGGATGTGAAACTTCTCCGTGAGGCACAGGCTGCATCGTTTGCTGCTGTTGCTGTAGGATGGGGCGCGATCTTTTATTTTCCAGCTGATGTCAAAATTGCGCTGGGCGTTCTGAAGGTCCCAAATATGCTTTGAGAGCTCCGTCGATGTAGAGTATTTCTCATGCCGGAATGTTGTGGAGTGGTTGTTGTAGCGCGATTTAAAGGTGTTGGCCGTCAGTCCGGTGTATGTCTTGGTCTGGAGAGATGACACATGTGCCTGGTATATGACGTCAGTCGACTGGCATTCCCCCTTGAGCGGGCAGGATGGCTTGACCCGGCAGTTACAAGGCTCAACGGGCGGCCTTGGCTGGAGCTTCGCAGCGTTGTGACCTTTGATGATGGAGGCTACGTTTCTCATGCAGCTGTAGCTGATTTTTATCTTGTTTTTGTTGAAGATCTTATTCAGTGCCGAACCCTTTGGAAAATGCTTTTTGATGAGGCCCAGGAACCTTGCACCAACGTTGGTTCTGACCGTTGTGCTATAGGGCGGGTTAAACCAAATCACATCTCTGCTGCGCCGCTTCCTTCTTTTCCTTTGTTCCGGTTCGTCACTGTATGCTATGGTTCTTGGATGTCCGCTTGCTGCCAGGGCGTCCTCATATACGGGCTTGGCATCACTAAAGACGTCTTCATTACAAGATATCCGCTGAAGACGCTTGTTAACGCCAATCGGGATCTGCTTCAATACTTGTGGCGGGTGGCAGGAGCTGACATCAACATATACTGGAGTGCTATTTGGTTTTCTGTACGGCTGAAAGGTACCGGTGTTGAGGTTCATTGATATGTCGAGGTAATCGATGACCTTTCTGTTAGCGTCTATTGTAAACTTCAGGCCGTGTGTTTGGAACACCTGGATTATCTCCTTACGCAAGCGGTCAGCTCCATGGCCGGTGGCATCCTTGACTATGGCCAGACCATCGTCTCGGTACAACCCGACACATTCCTCGCCTAGAAGTGGGCGGAGCTTGCTGAGCATGAAGGCTCCTACAAGCTCACAGGCCTCAGCTCCATCGTATGAGCCCATAGTTACGTCGAAAGATCCATCCTTCTCCTTCTTTACCCACGCTTGTCCTTTGTGGAACAACAGCGATTTACGGCAGTGCAATATGATGTCTGTTTCTTTTTCGGATATTGTGGCAAACGTCTTCGCGTAGTCGAGAGCTTGCCGCAGGAGGTCTTCCATAATAGACGGGTAGAAGTCCACAATGTCGAACACGATGAATGTGAATCTTGATTTGTTCTCATATGGATATTAAATCAGTGTCTGCTCCAGCGCCGGGTGAGCCGGGTAATCCACCCGGTTGGGCGGCGCTTGGACCCGATTGAAAATATAGTACCGGGTCACCTGTGACCCTGTTGGTACTTTACACTTTCGAACTTTGAAAGGACTGACCACATGGCTTGTATGTGTCAGATACTGCTTCTTCTTTCGTAATTTTCTAATTCCTGCCCTCTCTTTTCTAAATGCGGCTTATCCATTCGCCTTTATATCATTGGACCTAAGTTCCCGTTTATTGTCCGAATTAAAATAAACCAACCAACCAGTTAAAGCATGTGCCTCGGCTGGTGAGACAGCGCCAGGTACATGTGTACCCGGCCACGACCCGGTTGAAATGGTTGCGCCAGGTACACGTGTACCCGGCTGTCCTACAATCCTAGAGCAGACACTGTAAATATGATGGTAAGTAAACGACAAAGAAAAACACACACACGCAACTGTTTGGAAATAGTGCCCAAAACCCCAACTTCCACAGGAACAATCTGCGTCTCAACTTGCCATAGCCGATGGATTTCGCGAGCCAGGAGTTGATACTTGGATCGGATACAGGCCATCGTAACGGAGAAGGGCTCCTTCCGCTTGTCGGCCAGGAGGATTCCAAGCCGTTTCAGGAATGCTCACGCAGCCTTTGCGCAACCTCCGGTGGCACTGAAGACCAGGGGCAAGAAGGAGGCCTGCTCAACCTCTCGCACACTCTCCTCATATGCCCACCTCTTCTCTTGCTCATGCCTGGAGAAGGTCGACGCGAGGGATGGGGCTTGGTTAGAACGAGCAAAGGGTTGAACACCGGAACATCGAGGAATGTTCGGTCGAACCTACTACCCCAACCCCCCGACGCCGCTACGTGCAGGCGGGCTCCATCAGTGCATATGGCTGACCTGTACCCAAGTAAATTAGTTGTTCTCCACTCAATGGCTGTAAATGAGGTTCAACAATTACGTTGGTGGCAATCTCGCGAAGCATTACGGCGGTGACGTCACGAATCTCATTGTGGCGTAGAGCAGGATAGCCGCCTGTGGGACATGACATGGCATGCACAGCATCAAAGTTCTTGCCACACACATACGATGTAGGGTGGCAGAGCGGGTCCAGTCATACCGGAGGCATAATGCATCCCGGAAGGCACCATTGTTGAGAGTGAATCCATGCTGGCGGAGTGGGCGACAGGGGATCCAGCTGGAAGCACCTCTTTCCGCAGCAAGCTCGACAGTCCGCTTCAATGATGGGCTGCAGTTACCCAGACGATTCTCGTGCTCCACGCTATTATGGGCACGAGAAGCTGCTATGGCTTCACGCTTCCTCTGCCTTGTCGCAGCACGGATCCCTTCCATGGAGTGATGTTGGTGCAACATCTGTTGCACAAGGGGCACCGGATGCGTGCAGAGGCGGCGCACTGACAGGAGAGAGTGCACGGGTTGAGAAGGCTCACACCTCCATCATGGCAAGGTAACGCCAGGATGTCTTGCTCCAGGATGTCCCGCTCCAGATCTGAAAGGATCTCCAGATATGAAATTAGCAAAGCATCCAGCGCGAAGTATATCGTATGCGTTATGGATTCAATCTGTATCTCGCCCTGGGGCTTCATCTGCCAGCTACACGAACCCGTGCCGGACGATCTCGCCCTGCCTCCCAAGGTAGTGCCCTTTGGAACATCCTGCCGGATGCAGTCAGAGTACTGTCGTCTCTCAGCAGCTTCAAAGCTGCCGTCGTACCGTATACCCTTTGATCCTACTGATACTTTAATAACCATTAAAACTTGCCTGGAGACAGCTTCCTGTTGGTGATAGATTCTCATGGTTTACCATTATTATTTGCCATGGCGAACCCCGTAAGTCCGTAACTGGCAGTGCAAGTTTTGGCCTTTAAAAATCCTGATGTTAGTAGCAATCACGTTTAAGTACTCCCGTTAGCAGTTAGTACTTACTTCAGTAGTTTCAGGAGTGCCTTATTAGGCGGGTTACAGAACTGTCATTCGCTGACTATACTTGTAGTGTAGATAACGCTTCACTCTTAATTGAGATATCTACTATTCTCTCTTCTTTCTCATTATTTTCTCCCAACCCTCCTTCCCTGTACCACAATAACATATTCGCTGCCTTGTCATTGAGCATTTCTGCTCGTTTGGATCAAATGAAGTGTGCAAACAAACAAACCTCTGATGCGTGCTCCAGCCGGCAAATGGATCCTGACGAGTTCAGGTGAGGTGCGCATGTTGCGTACAATCACAGTGTGCATGTACATATACATGTACGTGTCACTTGACATGCATTGACATGTACGTGTCACTTGACATGCATTGACATGTACGTGTCACTTGACATGCATTGACATGTAAATCTATGAACACTGTGAGTTCTCTGGGCTACCTGAAGGGCTTGTGAAATGGTTAACACAGGCTCTAGTTTTCAGGAGCACTGTATTTGTTCAAGGGGTAAAAAGAACAGTTACTTCGAAGTACGTTTGACATTTTTGTGCTTCTCAATCTCATTTCAGGTACCTTGAGTACAACTCACTAACCTCTCTACCGTCTGGAGTATTTGACAGGCTTTATTTGCTGATCCACTTGTAAGTTTGTCCTCAGACAGACCTTTAAGAGCCAATGCCTAAATGACCAAACATGGCCAAGTTTCCGATTTCGCTCTAAAGTTGGCTCCTTTTACCCCTGGATGTCATGCACCCATTGTGAGTCATTTATGACAGACTCAGACTCTCTGACGTGGAGAGTATAACCGTAAAATAATAATACTTGAAGTAATAATAATAATAAATGGTTTGCTCCCCACACCGGAGCTCGCGCTATTCCGCCGACTTTACTTGACACTTGACTGACTCACGACTGCCATCCAGAGCACACGAGAAGTTCATCGAACCTTCGACTCGGCAAACCTGCAAGAAAGCACCACTCCCTGCTCAATACACAGTGTTTCGGGGAATTCACCCCTCATCAGTTGAGCTTGAGTAGGCTGAGGAAGATTGTGCCTGAAGAGCACCACTTATATAGTGCTCTCCAGGCACAAACATCACCAGGGATACAAACTTACAGAGACGCTCCGTTTCAAGCGCGACAAACACCTCGTATAGCGCGAGCTCCGGTGTGGGGAGCAAACCATTTCTTACAAATCATCGCCGAAGTCGCAACCACTACTTCGTAATAATAATAATATTAATCACTTGCCAATAACAAAGACAACAATAATACCATCAGCCCCCATTCACCGGTTTTGACGGTACTTCACTGATGTTGAATGAGAAGAATTATATTGCTGCCTTCAGTGCTATTGTGTCGCTGAAGGGCTCGATTTCAGATTTGATGACGGTTACTTTTCAACGGATTTTGTTTTCTGATTTAGCTCTCTTGCTATTACTGTACCTGCTTGTGTTAAGTCTCATTCTCGCAGATTAGTTGTATAATAGATTGTACATGCATCATTGTAGATTTGCTGTTCACAGTATTTCTCTCTTTTTTCTTTCTTTTTTCTCAGTCTCCCTTATTATATTTTCTTCACATACAACAGCAGTACTCCCCATGGTCTTAAATGACCCGGGATGCTGCATAATACAAACACAAAACCAATAAAGCCACCCCCATAATAATAATAATAATAATAATAATAATAATAATAATCTTCACTAGTTTGAGGGAAAGAGACATACGGGAAAAGTCTGAAGAAAAAATTGACTCTCACCACCAGGACTCGACGTACTTCACGTGCACTCTAGCACGCGGGGAGCCCCAAGTCATAAAATCTTCACTAGTTTGAGGGAAAGAGACAAACGGGAAAAGTCTGAAGAAAAAAATGATGGTGTAGTCGTCATCCCAGCAGAGACTGTTCAACATTTTCTTCAGACATTGTCTCCACAGTTTTACAATACATGTCGGAATACAGTGTACACAAATGTCGATCCAGCTTGTATTACTGATTGCGGTTATCAAATTGTTGTCTCCTCGCCGTTTGTTCAAATAATAATAATAATAGGTTGAACTCGAATGGTGAGCCAATATAGTTATGATGAAGAAAGGAAAAGGACAAAATGTTACGAGTTATGACAAACTGTCCACCAACGTAACCAGATCTTGTGTCAGGTCGCCGAATGTCTCAGTACTCCTTGTCAGTTTTGTGCCATTTTGTCGCACTTGCTGGCTGTATAAGATCTGGTTACGTTGGTGGACAGTTTGTCATAACTCGTAACATTTTGTCCTTTTCATTTCTTGAGCAGGGAGTGGTGCTTTCTTGCAGGTTTGCCGAGTCGAAGGTTCGATGGACTTCTCGTGTGCTCTGGATGGCAGTCGTGAGTCAGTCAAGTGTCAAGTAAAGTCGGCGGAATAGCGCGAGCTCCGGTGTGGGGAGCAAACCTTTCTTCCTTTCTTCATCATAATAATAATAGTAATAATATTTTAAACTCGGATACTGAGTGTGTTGCTTTGCTGCTTCGATTTGTAGTCAGACCGCATTGTCATGTTATTAACTGGTCTTGTCATCGTCCTGTAACAGTCGGCATTCTTTGTTGCAGCGGGACTTAGCTAGTGCACATTTTCGCTGCGCTCACCTTCCCCTCTTCGGTCCTACGTAACCATGAACCTTCAAAGTGGGAAGGCTGTTGGTTTGCGCACTGGAGATGTGTTAGAGCTAGGTCTCGGGTCGCTGAATGTCTCAGTAGCCTGTCAGTTTTGTGCCCTATTATCGCACTTTCTGACCGTTAATCATCTTGTTACAGTCGTGGATAGTTGCTGCATAACTCATTCTCATGTATTTCTTCTCTTTTTTAAATAATAATAATAATTCAAACGGTAGTTTGGAGGCGGTGGAAAAAACAGTTTCGTATTCAGTATTCGCATGCAATGACGCAAATCAACACAATTCAGTAGACACTTCCTTTCTATCAAACGTTTTCTTTCCCTTCTCTTCAGGATAGTACAGGGAATGTTGTAAATTTGAAAAAAACACATAACTATAATTATAGAGAAAGAACGAAAAAATCAACACTTCAACATAGGCGATAAAATGATAAAAGTGTTAAAAAAACTCAAAAACAAACAGCTGCAAGTTGTAGACTAACACGCTGAACACATCAGGGAGCACTTGCACGTGCGCACAATAATTTGAAAACAATAAATTAATCCTTGGCATTCCATCAGAGCCTATTCTCTTTCGGTTCTTTTTCTTAGTCTTTCTTGGCCTTGTGGGTGCGTGTGCATGTGTGTGTGCGTGCACAATAATTTGAGAACACTTTATGATTCACTGCTTACTCCCACAGTTAGGTGCTACATCTGCCGCTAGGGTTCACCGGTAGTACGGGGGCCAGGGCTGAAAAAAGTGCTTCAAATAAAGTTTCGTTCCGACTTTTAGCGCACAACAATTTGACACCACAGAGTCATAGCGGAGGCAATACAGACATGAAATCTAAAAAAAACCGCTTCGAAAAGTGAATGGAAGGTCCCGAACGAGGTGATTTTGTCTTCCACTCGGCCATTACGTGCGGTATGCCCTGGAAGTCGTAAAATAATGACTTGTCAAGACAGAGGAGACTTCCCTACACAACCCCAGTGCAGGCCCGCTGCGCAAAACTAAATTCAGTCCTGGTATTGTTGACACGCAGGTGATGGTTTCGGCACCACGAAGGGCCCGGGCAACAATTTCGAAAGTGGAGTAGGATGTGGTATGTCCTGAATGACTGGGTCAACTCTCTCTCCTCCGATCGACTTCCGAGTCAGTCCTGGTATTGTTGACACGCACGTAGCGGTTTCGGCACCACGAAGGGGCTGCACCTCTAGCACTAACAATGTGAGTTTCACGACGGTAATCTGGCACCATCATGGAGGTGCCGGGATGTCGGAGGGCAAACATACGCCGAGGGCAACTCGGCAAAGCGTCTCTGCTCCCGTTGTCGAGCCAGGACGGAAAGATTGCATTTTCTGTCGAAAGTTGTTGCTCGGAAAGAAGCACAAGTACCAAAAGACATCTCAGTGCCAATCTCTCAACGCAGCCCAGAAAGTGTTCGATGCAGCCGAGGTAAGAGAGGACAACGCAATTCGAGAGGTACATTACCATCGTGACGCGAGTTTTGGAAGACAAAATGACATCGATTTATCGGACAGTACAGGTGGAGAGGCGCAAGTGTTGGCTAGCTTCCTTGAAGTAGTCCACAAGAAAGACTTGCGGCACAGGAAAAGAAGTTCCTGGATCCCATTCCAAAATTGAAGCTCGATATATTCTCAAACAGAAAGTCACGAACGGCAACCAGCCAGAGCAAAGCAGTATCTGTATTGCATGCCGACTGCGCTCTTTCCAGCAAGATGGCTGTTATCGCCCAGAGTCGCCATATGGATGTTCGTCAAATTCTCTCGTACCCATTGGGATCAGCACCGCTATCTCTCTGTACCTCAGATGGCACAGTAGTGAAGACTAACAAGTCTGCACTGCTCCAGTTATGAAGGTTTCTGATGGTGTAAGTCCACCCGGAAATACTCCATCTGAGTCAAGTGCTCTCATTGTTGATGCTATGGCTATGTTACAAGCCATGAGCTAGAAATCACTACCTGCAACCTTCTCTGACCTTGCATATAACATATTATCACTCCCTTAGTATTGACTCCCATTCATTTTCGCTATACCTAAGCAGTCAAATATTCCTGCATATTTCACTCCTTAGGGGCTATATTGACTGCTTATATTCGACTGCTTAGAGGTTGCGCAGTTGAACGGTGCCTAGTGCAGCATTGTCACTGCATGAGTAGGTGGTGGTGCAACGGTTGTGCAATCGTAAAACCGGGATTCATGAGGTTATCGTTCTGGAATTTGAAATACGGACTGTTTGTCGTGATAAATCTAATATTGACTTCGTACTTGGGCTCGCCATCACTTTCTTTGCCTACTAAGTTTCGTTTTGTTAGGTCTATTGTGCTCGCGACTGTTTTATACGGATGCCAATCTTGGACATTATCTGCCTCATCAATGAGAAGAATTTCATCCTTCTAGATGAAATGCTTCCGCCGACTCTTAGGAGTAACATACCACGACCGGCGTACCAACCAATCTATCCTGGAAGAAATCAATGACATCATCGGAGCAAGGATGCGGCTAGCCAACGAAGTCAAGAAATTTAAGTTGATGTGGTTTGGCCATGTTACGAGACATGACGTTTTCTCCAAGCCCTTCCTGCAAGGATCAACTCCTGGATCAACTCCTGGATCTCGACCGAGAGGAAGGCCCGCGACATCATGGATTTCTAACATTAAATGTTGGACGGGTCTTCCCTTGCATGCACTCTCTCATGCAGCACACGATAGAGTTGGATTCAGAGACATCATTCACAATTCTCTCGCTAATTAATGCCTCTACGATCACCTTGTGATTATGAGTTATACATACAAACATACATTTTTCGAGCATCTTGCGGGGTTTGCAGCTCTTTATAAAAATGCTTTGCTTCACGGAAACTTATTTCATTGCGAAGAGCTGCGCTTCGGTCCTCTGAGCTGTGCTGATGAGCTCTAACAGAGCAAAACAGTTGCTGTCCACAGATTTGAGTACATACATACATACATACTTGGTCAGTATAGGAAATAAAAACCTCGTAAAAGACCTCGGCTTCGCCTCGGTCTTTTACTCGGCTTTTATTTCCTATATTGACCTCGTACTCAGTCAATATTAGATACTTCATTCACTGCTCACCAAGGCTGGAAACTAGTGGACGGCAAGCTCCAGGTTGCAAAGCACAGTCTTTGCATTGCACTGATGTTTGTGGATGCAGCGCTGCAGATAACTGCCAGAACAGGGCCAGTGATCTGGAACCATAAACTGCCACTATAGCATGAGATTGAGTTTCAATTACGTACATCTACATTACATACACATCCATGGACAATGTACACGTAAGAGTAGTATGTTTTTTTATATTCCTTTCTGGCATTCCTGCAGTCTGTATATATCCCAATGGTCTTCATTCCAGATCGTGTTCACTTGATTTGAGTCCTTCAATCGTTTTACAACATTACTGTAGGCTAAAAATAAGAATAAAACAGTAGTTGCTATGGTGTTGCTATGCAGTTGCCATGGTTACCATGCACTAAACTTCAACGGCTAATTTCAGCACCTTCCATCACGTTTCGAGGGTCAAAAAATATATTGTTGAGCTTCTTGTGGTCCCCTCTACACGTTGAAACTCTCAAAACGTTGTGCGCTCTCAACTGCAACGAAAGTAAACATTTTGGGCACCTGGCCCCCGTACTACGGGTGTTAGCGCCCGTCGTGAGTTGCCTTCGGGAACAGACACGATAATTTACTTCAACTTTACATGATTGAGATATTGTAATTTTCAGCGAAGAGACCACTTGATTTGAGGATGGTGTTTGAAGGGTTTTTCATGTAATGAAGTGGCTGCAATGGAGTCTAAATACTAATTAGTTTATCTTGAGAAGTAAATGATATAAAGGATTAAATCGAGAAGCAGTTTTACAGAAGGTCTTGTGTCACATAGTGAACAATTGCAAACGATTGTTGATTAGGTTGACCCTGCATGCCATAAGTGTTCCCTGTATTTCTGTTTGGCTTACAGAAATGTATCATTTAACCAACTAACAACCCTACCTCAAGGCCTGTTTGATGACTTGCCATTAGCATCCATGTAAGTGTGACTAGAATATTTCTCCTACGGTTGTTGTTGTTGTTGTTGTTGTTTTTGTTTCAAATCTCTATTCTCACGATAGCCAGTGGCCAATAAGAGATAATAGTGTAAGAAAGGAGAAAGAGTGATTTGTTGTTGTTGTTGTTGTTGTTGTTGTTGTTGTTGTTGTTGTTGTTGTTGTTGTTGTTGTTGTTGTTGTTGTTGTTGTTGTTGTTGTTGTTGTTGTTGTTGTTGTTGTTGTTGTTGTTGTTGTTGTTGTTGTTGTTGTTGTTGTTGTTGTTGTTGTTGTTGTTGTTGTTGTTGTTGTTGTTGTTGTTGTTGCTGTTGCTGTTGCTGTTGTTGTTGTTGTTGTTGTTGTTGTTGTTGTTGTTGTTGTTGTTGTTGTTGTTGTTGTTGTTGTTGTTGTTGTTGTTGTTGTTGTTGTTGTTGTTTAGTATATGTAACACCGAAGTGATACGTTGTTGTTGTTGTTGTTGTTTGAAATCTTTTATTCTCATGACCTGAGGCCAATAAGAGAAAAATAATTAGCTTGTTGTTATTGTTTTTTTTATGGAAAAACCACAAACCTTCAGACATGTGAATGTGCACATGATATACAGTATACATACGTATGTATCGAGAAGGCAGCACAGAAACGGCAGCTCGTCCGACCTTGGTTTTCGGAGCCAACACTAGGCAGACGGTCGGTGGCCCAGTCCCAGTGGCTGGAGCGCAGGAATCTGTGGACGCTGCACTTGAAGGACTGCAACCTTTTCTGGTCGGGCTGATCCCGGAGGTGTTGGCAAGGCAACTGGTTCTAGGTGTCCAGCACTCCTTCAGGGAACGACCGGCGGATGTTGTTGCTGGAACTGGCTGGGATATCAGACTGCACTGGCTGGTAGCGGTGACCGGCCGCCACCCGCGCCTGCTGCCTGGTGTTGGCAGGATGTTGGTCGTGGTCTGGTACTGCTTGGGAGGGGGGGGGGCAGCATTCGGGTTAGCATCTTTGGGCCTGTCAGGTAGTGGATTTTGTAGAGATAGCAGAGACCCAGCCACTTTGCGCTGGAGTTTGAGGCTTGGCAGATATGCGCCTTCGCCGACCAGATGCAGGGCTCTCCGCTGTACAGCATCGAGTTAGGCCAGAACCGTCTGAGAAGCACCCATCCAGACTAGCATGCCATGCTCTCAGACTTGGCGAACAAAGCCGTTGTAGACCGTGAGTCGGCAGGCAGAGTCAAGCACTGCTGAGACCTTCTTCAGGAAGCCCAGTCGCTGTGTGGCGCGCAGGTATGACTGTCGAATTTGCTGGCAGAATGTCAGTTGACTGTCGAAGGCTATCCCAAGAGTGAGTGAGTGAGATAGTGAGATAGTGAGATAGTGAGAGAGTCAGAGAGTGAGAGAGATAGAGATAGAGAGAGAGAGAGAGAGAGAGAGAGAGAGAGAGAGAGGGAAGGAGGGAGGGAGGGACCCCGGAGGGAGGGAGTAAGTTACATTTATAAAGACAGGTAAGTCTAACAAATGAGGACTGAGACCTCTACAACAGGGTTTTTACGCCTGAAAGCAGGTGCATGATTTAACAAGCAGGTTGTCAGTCTAGATTTTATGCGCAGATGGAGAAAAAGCGCAGAATTTTTGTAATGAGATCAAAAGAGAAATAGTGAGAGAGAGAGAGAGAGAGAGAGAGAGAGAGAGAGAGAGAGAGAGAGAGAGAGAGAGAGAGAGAGGGAGGGAGAGGGAGAGAGAGAGAGAGAGAGAGAAAGAGAGGAGTAAGAGCGGGGGAGGGTTGGGAAGCAAGAGAGGAGGAGAGAACTAAATATAGTATAATTATATAATGCGTAAGGGGTGCACATTCAGATCCAGAGAAAAGGATAAGCAGGGCACGAGGCGTATAACAATATGTGGCAGTGTGTAGGCAGATGTGCATACATATAACAGTTTGTCAGTGGCCCAGTGACATTGCTGAGCACGGAGGTGCCAGAACACAGACACTTTCAAACTTTGCAGCCGTTTCCGGTCAGGTGGCTGGCTGAGGACGGCGGGTGGCAGAGCATTCCATACAGGGACAGCACAGGCGGGGAAAGCTCTACTGCATCTTTCCTGGCTGTTGACAGGTAGCCCTGTCTCAAGCTGGTAGTTATGCATGTCGAGACGGACGAGAGAGATAACATGGGCTGGTCGGGGGGCTTGAGAGGGAGGCGAGAGCTGATGAAGTGGGCTGGTAGGATTGGAGCACAGTAGCTTGTAAATGTAGGTGCAAGCAGCTACCATGCGCCGGACAGACAGGCTTTGCAGCTTTGCGCTGGGGGCCAATCAAGTGGAGGGCTGAGCGTTGCATTGGGTCAAGTCGCTGCAAGTTACAATCGGGTGCGCCCATCCAGACCAATGGGCAGTACTCCATTACTGGGCGCACAAACCCACGGTACACTATAGCTCGGCTGCAGGGATCCAGGAGCGGCGAGGCCTTCCGCATGAGCCCGAGATGTTGGTGTGCTCTGATGGCGACGGTACGGAGGTGGTTGCGGAGGGAAAGTTGGCTGTCCAAGGTCACCCCAAGAAGCTTGAGATTACTCTCTCCATTCAGGGGGACACCCGCAAATTGTACTGCTGGGAGCGGTGATGGTCAATAGCCATTGCCTGGGACTTGGCTGGCTCTAACGCAATTCTCCAGCTGGTGCCCCAATTCACAAGGGCATGGAGGGCATTTTGCAGGACTGTCAAACTGTGGTCAATGGTATCCATGGTGGACAGGCACTGAAACAGCGTTGTGTCGTTAGCATAAGCGGCAAGATCTACACCTGGTGGAAGGTGGTCATCAGCATCGTTCGTGTAGAGCAGGAACAGTGTCGGTCCCAACAAGCTACCTTGCAGAGCTCCGGCTGTGATGCGGTGTGGGCTGGACGACTGCCCACCAACGACGACACTCAGGCGCCTGTCCAGCAGGTAGTCCTTCAACCATGCAAGCAGCATGCCCAATACACCGTGCTGCTGGGCTTTGTGAATCACACCTGGATGGGAGACTCAATGGAATGCGCCAGCGATATCTACAGCAACACCTCGCACAGCTCCGCCTCCTGCAGCCACGGTACTCCAACGATGGTGTAGTAGGGTAAGGAGGTCCTGCGTTCCCAGGCCGGAGCGGAAGTCGTACTGGTTAGCGGTGAGGATGTGCTGGCGCTCAAGGAATCCCATAAGGCTACGATTGATGATAGCTTCCATGACCTTTGACACTATTGGCAGCAGGTATACGGGCCGGTAGTTCTTTGTTGTGGAATTTGAACCCTTCTTGTGTACAGGTACTACTGAGGCAAGCTTCCACAGTGACGGTTGCCGGCCTTGGCGGAATGCTTTGCTGAAAAGCTGGGCCACCGGCCTGCACAGTTCCTCACAGCGCTGCTTCAACACTCGTCCTGGTACACCATCCGAGCCACTGGATTTCTACAGCCATAATCCCTCATTCCTTGTTGACTTTTTTCCTACGTTCCCAATATATTAGGGTCCTTTTGGACCCCAGAAACGTTTTGGATGGAATTCTTGCAAACTTGCAAATAATCCCGACAAACTTCATAGCTGTCAAAAAATGCAGTTTGGTCAAAGCATTGGTCTATGGGAACGTAACACAGCAAACAAATTACATAAAATTGAGAGTTTGCAAGAATACTACCCAAAACGTTCCTGGGGTCCGAAAGGACCCCAATATTCTGGGAACGTAGGAAAAAGTCAACATGGAATGAGGGTTAAAATTGTTGTCTCCTCGTCGAATATTTAGAACTACGTTTCTCGTTTCTTTCCTACGTCAGCCAACGAGAAATGAGGGATATCTCGTGGCAAAATCAGACAAACTAGAAGGAGGGTTTGCCCAACACTAGTATAGAGAGGGGAGTAAGAGAACAAAGGCGCGGCGGAAGTCTAAGCAAGAACGCAATCAACACCAGAGATGCTTTTGCACCAAAAAACAAAAAGAGAGAAACAGAGAGACAGAGAGACAGAGACAGAGAGAGAGAGAGAGAGAGAGAGAGAGAGAGAGAGAGAGAGAGAGAGAGAGAGAGAGAGAGAGAGAGAGAGAGAGAGAGAGAGAGAGAGAGAGAGAGAGAGACACACACAGACAGCTTTTGTCTTTAGTTCGTTTTTGGCCGTGATGCTGAGACAGCAGGTCGTGACAGAGCTATCAAATGCCCTATCATCACGGCTCACGCTAGGGTTTCAGTGCAATTTCTTACATAGGCGCTGACGGATGGAATGCACTGCCACCTGCTTGCCGCCTTTCTAATTCACCTGCTGAATTTCGTTCATCCATCAAGACTTTCTTAGGGTTCCCTGTAAGAAGGCGATGACGCCTGTTGGGAATTCCCTTGTAAAATATAAAAATGAAACGGCAATGAATAAAACTAATTGTGCACTTATGAGTCATAACCATGTATAAAACAATAATTATTACTGAATGAAAAAATTCCTTAATGTTTTCTCGTGACTATCATCAGTGGAACATGGTCACATGGTAAAAATCACTAAAACAACCAGTTATATAGCTAGAATAATATTCACGAAAATAGCAGCTCGCGGTTACACATAGCGTCAATTACACCAGCAGTGTGAGTTTATGTGTTACAATGTAAATGTGAAAATTGTAGCGGTAAATGAATGAGGCAGCTATGTCACATGTGTGCGTTTGTGGACAACAAAGGGTGAGTGCGTATTATTTGAAGAGTGGGAGTGCTACAACGTTTTCTTTCTGTTTAAAAGCACGGATAACCGCGATTGCCCATATGTTGTAGCCTTTTGGACGCTGAGTCTACTGGTTTTGGTCCGAAAAGGCTGCGATGCAGCGTTCCTCCTTTATTCCCAATCGAACATGTTTCCAGTGTTGTGCAGAAGGCGTCAGTCGCCATCAGCCAGCTATGGCGCCATGGGCGATCTCTGCCCATAAGAGCCCGCAGGCTTTGGTACATTGGCATTGTGCAAGCACGACTAACGTACGCATCCAATGCATTCTTCCCGTCGCTGACACAGCAGCTGCAGAGTCG